AAAAGTATTGGCTTAAAAAGAAAAAGAATGAAACTCATGAACCAGTTTATCTTAGATGTCCTTGATGTGGTATAATATGATTTTTATGTTATATTCAGTGATGTTAGTAGTTTTTGTCAAATCAGCAAGAAACTTAAATATTTCTCCAAAGTATTTAAATAATTAACTCTTCTTCATTAAATGGATTATGAAATACTCTAAGAGCTCTTACTGAAAAAAGTATCTCTCTTAATTCATTTGCTTGTGATGTAACTGAAAAAGCATCATTACCATTTGTTTATGCCAGAATAATTTCTATTGCAGAAATTGCTTATTTTTATTGCTTTTATTACATTAATTTTTAAAAATTCATGCACATCCAAAATTTTAGTCTGTAATTCCTTAATTGTGCTATTGAAGCATTCTAAAATGTCTTTCTAAATGGCAGTTATAACAGAGTATTCCCAACTCATCTTTCCCTTACAGCCCCCAAATGCTTATGACTATTCCAATGGCATACTGATATTAGAAGTAAAAGAGGAGAAACCAGAGTAGAAAATGACAGAATTTTTAACCGATTACTATCAAACTATCTTACTTTGCCGGAGGCCCTCCAAGAACCTTGAAAGGGGGTCCTGAGTAAGGGGCTCTGAAACTTAAACATTATTTCATTCACATGTGATATCCTTAATTTTCTCTGTGAAATATGAGGCAAGACACAGAGCTACTGAGAGATGCATAGCACCGGGAAGTCTAAACAGAACAGTGAGGATTTAGAATAGTATTGGAGGGCCTGGCGTTTAACAATCTGTGCATTAGAATGAAGACTGGGGGCTTTAAGGATAACTAAATGAACAGGTAAAAGGAGTTGAAGTATAGTAAACTCCTCTAGGCAGAAACATCCTCTATGTAGAAACATTCTCTATGGAGAAGCATCTTCTATATCCTACACACACACACACGCACACACGGACACACACACACACACGCACACACATACTAAAACTAATAAGTGGGTTCATCAAAGTCACATGCATACATGATCCACATGCAAAAATCATTTTTATGGCTGCATAACAGCAATCAATCCCCCCCCAAAATTTAAGAAAACAATACCTTTCATAACCAGATGAAAGAGAACAAAACACCTAGAATAAATTTAGTAAAAGGAGTGCAGGCTTGTATATTAAAAGTAAAACATTTCTCAGAGAACTAAAGATCTCAATAGAAAGACATACCATGTTCATGAATTAAGATTCAATATTTTTAAGATGAAAATTAAATTGATCATCAGAATCAGTGCTATACCTATCAAAATCTTAGCATGCTACTTTGCTAGAATGAATAAGCTGATCCTAAAATGTACATGGAAATGCAAGGGACCCATAATAGCCAAAACAATCTTAAAAACAAAGAAATTTGGAGGACTTATATTTCTTGATTTCAAAATTTACTAAAAACTACAGTATTCAAGAGAGTATGGTACTGACATAAGAACAGACATATAGATTAATGGAATAGAACAGAGCCCAGAAATAATTCCCTACATTTATAGTGCATTTATTTTAGGTAAAGGCACCAAGACAATTCAATAGG